CTGAGGACAATTAAGTCCTAGGTTACAAACTGAACTCTCCAATGCAAGAACAAGATGCATTTCTTCCTTTAAAGTGCGATTTTGTCAGAAGAAAATAAAAAAGTTTCAGTTTTGTTTTTCCATGTGGTTGGGTATTCTGTTTGTAATAATTGTTTGGATACACTATATTTTTAATATGCTAGTTGTGATAATTTCATGCTAAGTAAAAATGTCCATAGTCATATTTTATGTTCCTAAAGTAACAGAATGACCTTCAATCTAGAAAAGACAAAAGAAATGCTAATGTAGGAATTTTTTCAATTTTCCCAAAAATTTCTGTTGTTTTTTTTCCGGAAAAAAAACCGGGTCTTTTTCCGAGCTTCAAAATTTCCGGAAATTTTACATCTCTAGTCAGGGGTGGTGCTTCTGGCTCCCCCCCCCCAATCCCCTCGCCGGGGTCCTGAAGGGACCTGGCAACCCTAGGTAGAGTTACTGGTACTGTAGTTGTGCTCTCTGTGTCCCCACTGGCATGGTATTGTACTAACAGTGCAGGAGTATAGTGCCAGCTTATCTTCAGGCTCCTCCCCCTTTCTATAAGGAGGCAGAATGGTTGAGGAATGCAGAGAGCTGATACCTGTTGGGTGCATGGGGTGGCAGGGTGGCGCACCTGTAATAGATCTAACCAGAATACCGTTAGCAGTTCAGTGTAACAGTGTTCGCTCTCCTTGCCTGTATGTGCAAAGTGGCCTTTCTGTGGGGCTCCTATCAGCAAATTCCCCCTCCTATGTATGTCCTGTGTATGTGTAGCAAGAGGCCAGACAGTTACATCCCCACGATGCATCCCTTGTCATCAGAGCCATGGGTGTCCTGTGTGTCATTTATATAGTGCTTAGGAAGGCTGTGATTGCCTGTAGACTTAATTGATATCCAGATTGTGCCAGGGCATGGAGAGGGGGGAGGAGGCTGGGGACGCACACACACACATCACACACACACACATGCACTTTGATAGCACAATATATAAAACTCATGACTAGGCCGAGAGAGGTTTAGGTTGCTGACAAAGTCCTGCTTCTCCTCAGTGCTGTCTTGTTCTCTGCCCACAGAGGAGTCACATTGGTCTGACAATGGCATCAGCACTAGGTGGGGCCAGCATATTTTTGAGAGATGCCGGCATACAGCAGGGCATAGGATGGGCACCCTAAAACAAGCCATTTGGGACCATGGCTCAGCAGGAGAACATCTCCTTTGTGTGCAGAACCCAGTGCACTACCCAGTCTCCTCTAGTTAAATAGGTCAAGTAGTAGGAGATGTGAAAGACCTCTGCCTCAGAGCCCGAATCGCTGCTGCCAGTCAGAGTAGACAGTAGGAACTTAGGTAGGCCAGTGACCTGATTCATTACAAGGCAGCCTCATTTGTATTTTTGCTTGCCACATTTAAATTACATGGAGCCGTAGCTCTAAGAATGCATTTCAGGGCCTTTACATTGCTCTGGGGGACAGCTGAAATATTTCCCAGCATTAGAATTAAGCTCTTCACACCTCCCCCCCCCTCCCCCGCAGTAGGATGAATGGGCTATTATGAATAAGAATGGCTAACGACCAGTGTAGCAAAATCCTGCTGCTGTGCTTGGATTAAGCCACAAGTGATTTCAGGGATAAGTTCCTTCCATTGTTCTTTAAGCCACTGACTTAATTTTCTTCTTCTTTTTCTAGACAAAGTGTTCCGCTGTTGGTCGGCAGCTTTCTTCCTGTGAACTGCCGCCGACGTCTTCGCGCTGTAAAACCAGAGTTCCATGACCTACACGTGCTGTGGTGCTCTGCTCCCCAAAAGCAGTCATGTGTTAGTTTTTTCCGATGCTTCATCTTGTTCCAGAAGAGTTACTTTGGTTTTCTGGAATACAAGGTGCTCAATGAACCGGGAGCCTCCATGAATGACACAGCCAGCTCTTGCCAGCAAATGGCTAAAAACTGCACCTCACATGTAGCAGGGATGGCACAAGAGGACAGCCACCGGGATCAGGTGCCACCCCCTTTCTATCATGAAACCAGCCAGGAACTTGATTTGTCCACCAAAGTGTGCAAAAGGGAGTCTGGGAGCCCTTATTCTGTGTTGGTGGACCCCAAAGCGAGTAAGCCGCATCTCCACGAAAGAGAGGAGCAGCCATATTTCAGGGAGGACAGAACAGTAGGAGAGGCCCGAGCCGTGAAAGAAGACAGGGAGAACTCTGACGACTTGCAGGAGGAGGAAGAGGAGGAAGATGAAGTGACTTACAAAAGGGAGCAGATAATAGTCGAGGTAAACCTTAACAACCAAACCTTAAATGTATCAAAAGGGGAGAAAGGGGTCCCCTCCCAGTCCAAAGAAACTGCTGTTCTTAAGACCAGCAGTGAGGAAGAGGAGGGTGACAGTGGGGAGGAAGAGGCCACTGAAGACAGTAATGATTATGAGGAGAATGAGAGGCAGAAGAAAAAACAAAGAGAGGCGAAAGATAGTGTTGCACAAAGGAGGACGCGGAGAGCTGCATCTGCTGCAGCCGCCACAACTTCCCCTACTCCCAGAACTCCACGGGGGCCTAGAAAGAGCGTTGAACCCCCCAAACGTAAGAAGAAAGCTGCAAAGGAGCCCAAGGCACCTGTGCAGAAATCAAAGTGTGAAGAAAAGGAGACTTTGACCTGTGAGAAGTGCCCCAGGGTGTTTAACACACGCTGGTATCTGGAGAAGCACATGAACGTCACTCACAGGCGCATGCAGATCTGCGACAAGTGTGGGAAGAAATTTGTGCTAGAAAGTGAGCTCTCCCTTCACCAGCAAACAGACTGTGAAAAAAACATCCAGGTAGGTCTTCCTTGCCTGCTCGCCAGATTTCCCTACCTTCTGCTGTCCCCTGGACACCTTGGAAGGGGCGGAAATCCTTTGAGGAGAACAAGGCCCAAGCCTCTCTGCGTCTGTCGTCCTTTCTTGTTGCACACCCAAGGAAACCGATCTGTATGAGTGTGGGGGAGATGATGATGGCTGGCTGATGGGGATTTCTCTGCACAGTGTCTTAGGGGAGACGGAATGTCCGCTTTTAATAGAGGTAATGTGCGCCTACATTAATGGAGGCAGGAGTTGGATTTCCAGAAGTTGTCATAACACGCCAATAGTAAAGCTGAGCCTGTGGTGCACCAAGATAATTTGAAGATCAGGTTAAACTAACACTTTCTGTTTCTTTGAATAATTCTTTTGGCAGAATATGGGTGTTGCGAAGCTCTCACATGTTTTGATAAGGAAGGAAACACTTGAATTGGGCAGCTAGGGATGAGAGGTGTGAGACCAATTGCAGTTTTGGCCAAGCCGGTTTCTCGGACCATCACTCTCACTGTAGGGACAGTATACACTGTAATGTGTGACGGATGGATGTCTGCACTATATGACACAAGGAGCCAGTCACAGCTTCCTGTGTGTGTCTGTGTTTGGTGTAGTGGTTAAGTGCGCGGACAGAAATCTGGGAGAACCGGGTTTGATTCCCCACTCCTCCACTTGCAGCTGCTGGATGACCTTGGGCAGGCCATAGTTCTGTCAGAGGTGTTCTTGAAAAAGAGCAGTTTCTGTCAGAGCTCTCTCAGCCCCGCCTACCTCCCAGGGTGTCTGTTGTGGGGAGGGGAAGGGAAAGGAATTTGTAAGCCGCTCTGAGACTCCTTTGGGTAGTGAAGGGCGGGGTATAAATCCAATCTCTTCTTCTTCTTATATGTTGCAAAATACACAGACCTGTGTTTATCATGCATTACAGTGTAGATGTATGCATGATTTTTCCTACAGGTAGCTGTGTTGGAAATGGTCTTTTGTGAAACTGTTTTAAGTGCCACAAGGGAAGAGTGGGCTGTTGTGCCATTGAGAACACTACACTTTGTCCCTTGGCTCTTGCCCACTGTAAGATAGGGCACTAGTTATGTTGAAAAATCCCAGGAAGTTTATCCGCAATCTTAAAAACCTTTCCCAAGATTCCCTTCTTTCCTCCCTTCTCCCTCTCCGTTCTGAAAGCATTCCACAGATGCCATCTGCCTGTATCAAAATTCCTCCACAAATCATTAAGTTCCGGTACTTTCTTGAGAATCATGAGATACTGAGTCTGTTGGCCTCTGGAGTCCCTGTGTACTCATTAGTTGTGTGCTATTGGCACAGATAAGTTGCATTGTAAGAACAGTTTCCTGGGAGTAAGCTCTCAAACAAAATGGAACATAGGATTGCTCTTTCTTACTGTTGAGTTCTTTGCGCTTCATAAAATCAGGTCCATCAAAGACAAGTACAGATAAACGAGTTCCCTCTTTGGGCTCAGAATGAACCAGGGACAGACTTATAATGAACAGAGTCACGCAAATGGGACATCTTGGCAAACGTTTAACATGTTAAAAGCAGTCTTGTCTTCTCTGTTCTCAATGCCAGGAGGTATATTAAGTTACTTTCACTTGGTGCCCGCAGGCTTGTGGAACCATTCTGTCAGTCTGCTCATTTGAAGTGCTGAAAATAAATGCAGCGTTGAATATTCTGTTGGAAATTATCTCTGTATGCTGCTCATTGCCTGGAGATTTGTCTTTTTTTTAACTTACACATTTAAACCATATGTTTCTGGACACTGTTGTTTTGTGGTGACAGACCTGTCTCTCAGACTGGCGGGTTTCTTTCTCAAGCCCAAAGAATTACATGGCCTACCATCTCTATGAGAGCCAGTGTGAAGAACAACGGATGCTAATCTGGAGAAATGGGTTTGATTCCCCACTCCTCCTCCATGCCTGCTGGGTGACCTTGGGCCATTCACAGTTTTCTCAGCTCTCTCTCAGCCCCACCTACCTCACAAGGTGCCTGTTGTGCAGAGAGGAAGGGAAGGAGATTGTAAGCTGCTTTGAGACACATGAGGCCTGCTAGGTGACCTTGGGCAGTCACAGTTCTCTCAGAGCTCTCTTAGCCCCACCTACCTCACAAGGTGCCTATTGGGAGAGGAAGGGAAGATGATTATAAGCTGCTTCGAGACTCCTTAAGGTAGAGAAAAACGGGGTATAAAAGCCAACTCTTCTGCCTTGAAGGGTCCTCGACTCAACATCCTCCAGATGTCCTTCGCGCTGCCAACTGTTATGTTCCATATTAAAGTTTAGTTCTCCCCCGCCCCCTTGTCCTAACGTAGCTTGCTTCTTCAGCTTGAACAAGATTAACTGTAGTAAAACTGCACGGACATTTCACTTGCAGGATGCACCTGGCTTTGCAGAATATAGGCTTTTGAGTCAAGACCGTAGTTTTAAGATGGTACCGTTTTTATACAAAAGGTGGAAAACTCTGCTGGGAAGGAACCAGTTTTTAAAGGTCATCCCGCTCTTTCAAGCATATAAAGCTTATATGAAAATTGTGCGTGCAAGTAATTGTCTTGTGTTGCAAATGGCATTATACAGCATTTCACCAGCGATGAAATCAAACCCACTTACCCATACAGCCCTGACCTTGGATGGAGCAGGCTAGCCCAATCTCATCAGATCTTGGAAGCTAAGCAGAGTCGACAGAAGGCCCCACACTTAGCTGAGAAGTCTGATAGCATCCAGACTTATGGGGCTGCTTGACATGGTACAGAAGAGCCCTTGCTTTGGATTGGTTGAGCTTCAAATGTGACGAAGGTTTGCAATTATTTTAATTCCAAGTGCTCATTTTCATTGCTTAGATCTGGCAGAGGCTAGTCCCCCATGAAAGCTTCTGCAGTTCCACACTGTGATTTTTTAGCTACCCTGACATTTCTGATGCAAAAGTTTGATTGAAGCACAGAGGACTGTAAGTCATAAGAACATAAGAAGAGCCCTGCTGGATCAGAGCAGTGGTGTATCTAGTCCCCCATCCTGTCTCACACAGTGGCCAACCAGTTCCTCTGGAGGGCCAATAACAGGGAATAGAGGCTCTGGCCTTCCCCTGATCTTACCTCCTGGCTCTGGGATCCAGAGGATTAGTGCCTCTGAATGTGGAGGTTCCCCTCAGTCACCATGGCTAGTAGCCACCGATAGACCTATCCTTCCTGAATCTAATTCCCTTTTAAAGCTGTTTATTCCTTTGACCATTACTATATCCTCTGGCAGTAAATTCCACATTTTAATCACTCTCTGTGTAAAGAAGTATTTCCTTTTGTCCGTCCTGAACCTACTGCCCATCGGCTTCATTGGATGCCCTCAAGTTCTAGTGTTTTGGGAGAGGGAGAGAAATTTATCTTCGTCTGCTCTCTCCACCCCATGCATAATTTTATAAACCTCTGTCATGTTCCCCCCTTACTCACTTCTCAACTGAAATGTCCCAGACTCCTCAGCCTTTCCTCCTATGGAAGGTCCTCCCAACACCCTAAAAAGTCCTACTGCTGTTTTCACCTCACCAGTTCTCTCTTCCTTTTGCATACATTGTCTCAGTTCTGGACAGCCTCATTCCCGAGATAATCATGGGAACTGGAACCCACTTGTTCGCTTCTCTTTGCTTACCTTCCTGAATCCCAGTTTGGATATGAGAGAGAAAACAGATCTGGGCAATGTAATAGATCAATCAGTTAGGTGGATTGAGTCTGAAGAACTTGGCAACAATACAAGGTGGTGTGTTAGAAACCTTCAGTGCTCCTACTTCACGTAAATATTTTTATCTTTTTAAAGTGACATTTCTGTATTGGCTCCTGTTGTTAACATATATTGCATAAATTATACCAGGTTGCAGAATTCACCTCCTTGTCACAGAATTTTACGTTTTGAGAGCAGAATATACCCAGCTATGCATATAGCCAAATCATTAAGGATCATGTGGAGATTAATTCATGGGTTATAGAATTTCTGGCGAGTTTTCAGCCACACGAAAAACAGATCCAGTTGATACCATGTCTTCTCATAATTGGTCTAATTGTATTCCTTTTGATCACTAATTCAGGGTTTCCTTGTTGCCAAGCAAGGGTCAGTCGCACTACTGTACGATAGGGATCTGCAACTTCTCACAACTAAAGAGCCAAACGATGTGAAAATTCAGAACAAAAGAGCAACAAAGAACCAGTATAAGAAAGTTAATTTGAATAACCGAAGCTATATAACTTCATGTTATTTATTTACAAAATTTAAAAGGCCACCAAGGTGGATAATGAATTGAGACATGATAAAATACATCATAAAACCATTAAAATAAACCCCTCTCCCAAACGTACCTAATGAAAACAACTTTAAAGAGTTTTAAAAAACAGGTAAAATGCATACAAAACACCATACATAGGAAGGAATACATACATAAGAAGGGAAGGATCATTGAGGGAATGTCAAAGGAAACCAAAGGGTCTTCACCCGCTGGCAGAAGACAGCAGCAGAAGTGGGCAGAGGAATCTCCCCAGGGGAGAGACTTCCAAAGCTTTGGTGCTATGACCAAGAAGGCCCTTTCCTGGGTTGCTGTCAGCCACCTAATCTCAGAGGGTGGCTGCACTACAGTGATTGGGCAGGTTTGTAAGGGAAAGCAGTCGATCTCATTAATTAGGGCCGTATGTGACCTGTCGGGCCAGGCCATATGTGCCATAAAACATAATGCCAAGTACTGGAGGTATGAGCTGTTATAAAGGACAGCAGCTGGGAAGCTCCGAGTTGTTGTATCCTCACTGCAAGGCCCCATGGGCTGGGGGGGGGGGTTGCAAAGGAAAACCCACAGGGACGGACTGGGGAGCCAGCGGGGCAGCACTGGGCAGACGCCCCCATGCTGCTTGACCGCCGCAGACAAGGTGGCTCCGCCATGCTGAAGCCACAAACAGAGTGGCTCCGCCCACTCCCCCCTGAAAAGTCTCCCGTTCCCTCCCTTGCACTACTTGCTCGCGGGCTGCATAAGAACTCTGGATGAGCTGGTTACTCCCCCTGGGCCTTATGTTTGACACCCCTGGATTAGGCGTTCTGTCAAGTCTGTTGGTCCCAAACCATAGAGGGCATTGAGGGTCAAGACCAGCACCTTGGAATTGTTCCCAGAAACAAATTGGAAGCCAGCGTAGGTGGACCAAGACCGGAATGATGTGGTCTGTATGACCCACTCCAGTCAAACATCCTGGCTGCAGCATTCTGTACGAACTGAAGCTCAGGACACTGTCTTTGAAGTCTCATGTACAGTGCATTGCAATAACCTAATCTAGACGTAACCAGAGCCTGCACCACAGTGGCCAGATCTTTCCTGTCCAGGAAATGCCACAGCTGGCTAAGCAGTCGAAGCTAGTAAAAGGTACTCCTGGCCGCAACTGTGATGACGTTCGTGATGACTGACATGTCAGTTAATAATCTGTAACATTTCTGTAGCCCAAACACTGGTTGTTGCAAATCCTCTCTCTCCTTTCCTGTCCTGCAACAGCCCCAAAGGCTCCCTGAAATCTTGTTTCTTGTGGGGATGAGGAACCCCTTGAAACAGGATTTGGAGGGCATTTCAGGGTGCCACAGGAAGTGGGAGGCAGGATATTCACACTCTGTGGGTGGAATTCCTTGTGCCCGTGGAAACATTAGCTTGGACCCAACTCGTGGTTCTCACTTGGACTACGGGCAGTTGTCGTTCACCCCTTTATGTAAAGCATCTCTAGGAAGCCCTTTAGTCCCATAGAAAACTTTTCCTGATATTCCTTTCACCCCGTGGTTATTCTCACATCCCTCCTATCCCTCCAGTATATATCACTTATAGACAACGTCTTTCTTTAAAGAGCCACATTTGGCTTTAGAGCCATGGATTGCAGACCCCTAGTGTATTTTAGGTTTGTTCCACCCTTAATCTTGGCTAGAAAGAGGGTATTATTCCTTTTCTCCACCACCACCACCACCCATGTTCCTGCCAAGTAAAGTTCTACGAAAATGCCTGTATTTCAGCTACCATGGTAAGAAATTTAAAAATGAAACCCTCACTTCGAATGGTTTATTCTGGTGACATAATATGGGGCTTACTGAATTCTGCAAATACAGTTTAATATCTGCATCTACACAGGAATCCTGTGTAATACAAGTTGTAGAAATGCAGTTTTCTCATTCCTGAAGGGCTGGCTTGGTAGTTGTATGCCTTTATCCTTAAGGCTACCGTTTTTCTGTTGATTTGCAATATGGTTCCTGCAGCTTGCCTGGAGCAGTTTTCCAAAGCAATCTAGAATATTAAATTTCCTAAGGCATCAGTTGCAACGTATGACTTAGAGAAGAGCAAGAGACCAGTAGCACCTTAAAGACTAAAAATTTGTGGCAGGGTATGAGTGGGGAACATTTTAACCTTCCAGGACATTCAGTGGGTGACCTAAGACCAGCAGTTCTCTTACACAGGAATTTATTCTCTTACACAGGAATTTAAAAGGGATATTAGAGAGACTGCTGAATTGCAATTGATGATGAGGGTCAAGACAGTGCATCCTCCTGGACTGAATTGAGACTTATGTTTTCTGCCTCATTAAAGGTAAAGGTTCCCCTGCTCGAAAGCCAGTCGAGTCCGACTCTAGGGTTGCGGTGCTCATCTCCATTTCCAAGCCGAAGAGCCAGCGCTGTCCAAAGACGTTTCCGTGGTCATGTGGCCGGCATGACTAAACACCAAGGCGCACGGGACGCTGTTCCCTTCCCACCGAAGTGGTACCTATTTATCTACTTGCAATTTCTTTCGAACTGCTAGGTTGGCAGGAGCTGGAACTAGAGACGGGAGCTCACTCCGTCATGCGGCACACTCGGGTCTCGAACTGCTGAACTACCGACCTTCCACAGCCTGCAGTTCAGCGTCTTAACCACTTGAGCCACCGCAGCTCCTACCCAAGGCAAAGGCACCACCAAAAGACCATGTGAAGCGGAACACAAGCACCATGGGGGATTGTAGTGGGAGAGAGGTCCCTGTCTTCCCCAGACTCCATCCCCAAATCTCCAGGAGTTTCCCAGCCTGGATCTAAAGCTCACTCCGTCATGTGGCAACTCGGGTCTCGAACTGCTGAACTACTGACCTTCCACAGCCTGCAGTTCAGCGTCTTAACCACTTGAGCCACTGCAGCTCCTTCTGCCTCATTACCAGTGCTGATTTCTCCACGCCTACTACTGCTCTGAGTATCACACCTAATCCAATCATGCCTGCTATTGTCATTCAGCATCTGAAATAATTTCACTCTCCAAGATACATGGACTCAGATTCCAGCTGTATCTGAAGAAGCGAGCAGTGACTCACGAAAGCTCCTACCCTGCCACATACTTTGTTAGTCTTTAAGGTGTTCCTGGGCTCTTGCTCTTTTCTGCTGCTACAGACAAACACTTCTAGCCACCTGGATCTGTCTCAAGGTATCATCTGATCACAGAATAAGAATCAGGTTTATTGTCCTTCACTTTAGCACCTGGTAACTGTCCTCAATGGTAAGAGCTCTTTATCCCCCATTATAGAACGGGGCAGGGGGTGCTGAGTCACGGTGTATCCACCAGATTCTTGAAATCTGGTTCAGAACAAGGGACACCCCCCCCCCCCCCCCGGCCTGAAAGGGACATGTCAGTAAAGTCTTGAATGTCATGTGAGGGCATCCCCAGGCATTTCCCCTCTGTTCTAATCAAGCTGATTACATTTTGCATTTTACCTCTGCATCCCACAAGCATTCTTTACAACAACCCCCTCATACACCTTCTGGCTGGGATTGAGAGACTTAGACCTCCATTCACACTGCTGTCGGAGGAAGAGAACTTTGACCATCGAAAGCTTATACCCAGAAAATGTTGCTTGGTCTCTTAATGTGCTTCTGGACTCAAATCTAACTGCTGTTCTGCTCTTCAGACAACAGCAGGTGGCGCCCTATGCCAAGAACATTCATTTATCCTTGGCTGAACTGGTGGTTTTTAAGTGGCCGGCGCAAAAGCGGCAGAAGGCTGTACTGAAGTGGGTGGCATTGTAGGAACAGCCGTAGAAATGTATACTTGACCATTCTGAGGTCCTCTCTGTTGTATGTGCTTCATTTGTTCCGCGGGGGGTGAGGCGTGAAACTCCCAAAATGAGCTCTGTCTGAATTACCCTCCTTTGTCCCCATCTGTTCATTCAGTGCGTTTCCTGTAATAAGTCATTCAAGAAGCTATGGTCCCTTCATGAGCATATCAAGATTGTCCATGGATATGCAGAGAAAAAATTCTCCTGCGAGATATGCGAGAAGAAGTTCTACACCATGGCTCACGTGCGCAAGCACATGGTTGGTGAGTGTTTGCCACTTGTGTTCGGCCAGCTTTGGACCTCTTGCTTCTCAGCCCCTTGACTCTGAGTGGCTGTTCAAAGGGCCTTCCTGTGTTTTAAATATGATGCAAAGCCTCTTGTCCCTTACTAAACCCTTGATTGTCTCAGTGGCCACTGCCAAAACCCGGGAGTAGGATTGTCCTCCGCAGAATCTCCACCTGGGAAAATAACAGAGGATTAGACTGTAATGTCTAAATGTAACGCTTTTTAAAAATCCAGGCTTCCCTCCTCATTACAATTGCCTTATAAAACCTCTCAAAACCAAGAGCTGCTGGAGCTATCTGTGGTATCTGAAAGAGAGGCGGGTGGTGGTCCGATCTGTGCGTAGCCCAGGGACGTTGCACTTTGATTTAGCTGCTTAAGCTGCCCCTCCTCTCCAAGTTGTGTAACGAAGTCTGTTGCCAGATCATGTATCCGATTGCAGTAGCGGGTGGGCAGCCCATCTGGTGCCCCTGGGCCAAGCGTCCGACTCCAGAGAGAATTGTACAGAGTTGCACCACTGATTGCAGCTTAGCAGAATGTGGTGGGTGTAATTTTAGTGGGGTGGGGGGAAGGGAAAGGAGGTCATCACCTAGGCTATTTCCAAATTGGATCGCTGGATCTGAATGACAGAGGACTTGACCATGGCCCTGCTCCTTTGAAGCCCTTTTGTTTTGATAAATGTATGGTTTTGGCACTGAGACTGTTGGTACGGCCCAGTAAGATGACTGGAAAGTGTAAGCTTAAAGGTACGGTGCTGGGCAGAGTGTGCTGGTAGTAAAAGGATATTGTCCTCCAGTGATAAGAGATTTAGGCAGGATAGTCTTTTGCCTTTATATTCAGGGTCTTAGCTGAAAATCATCATTTGCTAGCAGAAGGAAACTTTTTGTTATGTCAGATGGATAGGCTTTTTATTTTCTCCTGAAGATTCTCTGGCAAAGCCCACATAAGATCATAAGAACATAAGAGAAGCCAGTGTTGGATCAGGCCAATGGCCCATCCAGTCCAACACTCTGTCACACAGTGGCCAAAAATACCAGGTGCCAACAGGAAGCCCTTCCACTGTTGGTGCCCCCCCCCCCCGGCATCAAGAATACAGAGCATCACTTGCCCCAGATCGAGAGTTCTGGCAGGGCTCTTTTTGTAGCAGGGACTCCTTTGCATATTAAGCCACACACCCCTAATGTAGCCAATCCTCCAAGAGCTTACAGAGCTCTTCTTACAGGGGCTACTGTAAGCTCTTGGAGGATTGGCTACATTAGGGGTGTGTCACCTAATATGCAAAGGAGTCCCTGCTACAAAAAGAGTCATGAGGGCTCTTTTTGTAGCAGGGACTCCTTTGCATATTAGGCCACACACCCCTAATGTAGCCAATCCTCCAAGAGCTTACAGAGCTCTTCTTACAGGGGCTACTGTAAGCTCTTGGAGGATTGGCTACATTAGGGGTGTGTCGTTTAATATGCAAATGAGTACCTGCTACAAAAAGAGCCCTTGTGGCTAATAGCCACTGATGGACCTCTGCTCCATATGTTTATCCAATCCCTTCTTGAAGCTGTCGATGCTTAGTTCTGCCACCACCTTCTGTGGCAGTAAATTCCATGTGTTAATCACTCTGGGTGAAGAAGTACTTCCTTTTTATCTGTTCTAACCTCTGCTCCATATGTTTATCCAATCCCTTCTTGAAGCTGTCGATACTTAGTTCTGCCACCACCCTCTGTGGCAGTGAATTCCATGTGTTAATCACTCTTTGGGTGAAGAAGTGCTTCCTTTTTAATCTGTTCTAACCCGACTGCTCAGCAATCTCATTGAGTGTCCACGAATTCTTGTATTGCGAGAAAGAGAGAAAAGTACTTCTTTCTCGACCTACTCTATCCCATGCATAGTCTTGTAAGTTGTTTTGGCAAATAAATTACTGTCTTATGGATTCCTCCAGTGCAGTGTTTCTTGACCATCCCCTGCTTTCAGCCTGTAAGGCACAATAACATCACTCAACTGTTATCAGTGCCTGTGGAAGACTCTGCCTAATTATATATGATAGGGCGAAAGTGGTTTTGGTGGGGTCCCTTTCAGTCTCTTTCTTTGGCTACCCATATTCCTTTGGAATTAAAACGAAACATAGAAATCTTCTCTATGTGATTTATTTAAATTAAACCATCTGTTCATGTTCAGGAGTGAACTTTCTTCCCTAATTTGACATTTCAGCACATACTAAGGACATGCCATTCACCTGTGAAACCTGTGGAAAATCCTTCAAACGCAGCATGTCGCTCAAGGTTCATTCCCTGCAGCATTCTGGCGAGAAGCCTTTCCGATGTGAGGTAGGGCCCCTGCTCGTTCATTGTGGAAGCCAAGTTGAAATGACTCAGAATTTGAACAGTATGCACGTTGTGGTGAACAGAGCCTGAGGTTGCATGTAGGTGACTTATTTACTCCATGGTGGCTGCTTAAACTCATTGCGGGGCTAATGCAGTCATGTGATGGTTCCAGCCATCTGTAGCATCCAGCCTCCTGGAGATACGTATCTCACCATGTCCCTGCAACCGATGAAGAGTATGAAGTAACAGGCCCATGGTAAAATGTGATCAGGTACTGCAAACTGACCCATGTCCAGGTGGTTGCTTTTTTACCACAGTGAATTCATAAAAAGTCACGAGACAGCAGGTAGGTGTTTGTCATCTGGGTACTGTTTTATATATTCAGGGGCTTGTATCCTACAGGGTACCAACAGTATACTGATTCCCCCCCCCCCCCCCCCCCCATTTTTTCACTTCCACCCTCCCTTTTAGCCCCAAAAAAAATTTTTTTGGGGGGGGGGGGGTTACAGGATTTTTAGGACGACTAGTTGCATGAGTGGGGGGGGGTTGCAGCAGTGAAGAGGAGGGAGTGGGTTTAAACTACCCATCCTGCTTCTTTCACAAGCACAGCTCCAGAGAGGAGGGGAACAAACGTTTCACCATCTCCCTACAGCCAGCAGAGCTGTCGTTCCACATGGATCCTTCAGTTCCAAAAATAATGGGGGGTGTGTGTATGAAAGGGACTGCAGAGGGAGGACATAATGTGGAGAGAATCTGTATGACTTCCATTGCTGTTTCATAGGATACAAGCTATTGTGTGTATTAGTATTACTAATTGCTTTGACTTCTAAGTTCTTTGTCTGGGCTTTGAAAATGGAGTAGAGCAAAATCTTCCCCCGTTTCCTGCTCTCCCATCAAGCCACTTAGTTGTGTTCCATCCCACCTAAAGTAATCATCTGTGCATTTGAGAGGGTTGCTTATTTTTTTCCCCCATTTCCTCGAACATGATTGTTCTGTAGAATCTTAACCTTTGGCTCATCTTTCATTTTGAGACGGTGTGGCAGTGGCCCCTAGAATTAATCAGCACTGGCGATGATTTCATGCTCGTGGGCTTCTGTTTCTCTCTCCTGTTGGGAAATGCACCTGCTCTGTTTTTGTGATTCAGGCAAGTGAAAAGATCCCGTTTGTCTGTTTCTAGAACTGTGACGAAAGGTTTCAGTACAAGTACCAGCTTCGTTCCCACATGAGCATCCACATCGGGCATAAACAGTTCATGTGCCAGTGGTGTGGTAAAGACTTCAATATGAAACAGTACTTCGATGAGCACATGAAAACCCACACTGGTAAGGATGTAAAACGTTTTTAATGCTTTGCGGAAGTACACTAGACTGTCCAAGGTCAAGTGTAAGACTGATAAGAGCTTATTCTCTAGAGCACCGGCATTTTGTGATTGATTGTTTTATTCTGTTTTTAGTTGTTGAATTATGGCATATGCCTCTTCTGTTAGCCGCCCTGAGCCTGTTTGGGGAGGGCGGGATATAAATTTAATAAATAAATAAATAAATAGTGCAGAGGTAGTATCTAAATTATAAAACCTCCCCAGGACAGCTGCTGGAGCTGTCTGTGGTATGAGAAAATTGTTGATGGATCTGAAAGAGAGGTGAGCGGTGCTCTGATCTGTGTGTAGCCCAGAGACATTGTGCCATGACTCAGCTGCTTAAGTTGCCATTCCCCTCCTAGTTGTATAATGAAGTCTGTTGCCAGGGCATGTCTCTGACTTCAGTGGAGGGTGGGCACTTCTGGTGTCTCTGCGTTAAGCGTCCAGAGAGAATTTTACAGAGTTGCACCACAGATTGTAGTTCCTCAACACTTAACAGTTTCCTCCATCTGATCAGTAGTATTCTTACCACTTTAAAGAATAATAACTGGAGAGGGCAAGATCCTGCTTCAAGAATACCACAGTTTAAGTTTTGCCTTGGGAGGGAAGAAAAGGGGGGGTCAGGATAAGGGAGATTAATGTGGGTAAATGCAATTACACATTGGCTTGGTTTCATTTGGGAGAGGTTTACGGGTTTTCATTCATGAGGGTTTATGGGGGGAAAGCCGGGTTTGGGGAGAGATTTTGACGTAAGGAACAGGGTCACCGATGTATCTGGCAAATGAGAGCAAAAGCCTCCTATGAGAGCAAAAAGGGGGAGGTTGTGGTAAAAGTAGGCAGTGCTTCAGAATTTAATGCTGAATGCAGAAGGGAAGAAAAGATTTGGGGGAAGAGGTGTTTCATGGCCTGGCAAAAGAGGTGGATGATCTGGGAGACCCAAGTTCTAGGGAGAGGTAGGATACTGCAGGCGGGATGAGGGAAAGCCAGAACAGAGAAGCTTTCAGTAGTCGGCAAGAGATTGTCAGAGCATTCACCTGAACCGTTCCCAGCTGGGCTAGAAAAGTCTTCTGTCTGGAACCATGGAGTTGTGCTGCCAGCCAGAATATACCATGCTGGGCTTGGGAAAGGAATCAGAAATCTGAAAGGGGAATTGAACAGTAACTTACGAGCCTAGCAGGTCAAGGGAGAAGCAGCTGGGAATTAGGTGGGAAGGGGGGCATGTGAGGGGTTAAATGAGCACAATAAAGTGGTTGTCTTACCAAACATGTCTGGGGTGGGGAGAAGGAAAAAAGCTGTATAAGGATCTGTGGTTTCAGGAAAGGGGTTGGCAAAGGAGATCTCTGTGGGTTTATCATACAAGAGTGGGGTGGCGGAGAAGAAGGCTTTAGAGCATCAGAGTTAGAGAAGAAGGACCAAGGATTGTTAAGATGCTGTATGATGGCGTGTCTCAGCCAAGATTACAGAGGAGCCCTTCTTTTCAGCAACAAGAACTTTGATTCCTTTCTCAGCTAGCTACGAAACTCTTCCATCTGAAATTGTCTTGACCACCAATTTAGTTTTTGCCCTTTAGCATTACAGTTAATATCAGCTGAGAAGCTGGGATTCAGCTGACGCGATCTTAGTGCATCAAGATGGGCCTCTAGTTGTCGGATAAGTGCCGTGTTTTAATTTTTTAACAGGAGAGAAGCCCTTTATCTGTGAAATCTGCGGCAAAAGCTTCACCAGTCGGCCCAACATGAAGCGGCACCGCCGAACGCACACAGGGGAGAAGCCGTACCCGTGCGACGTGTGTGGCCAGCGATTCCGCTTTTCCAACATGCTTAAGGCGCACAAGGAGAAGTGCTTCCGTGTCACCAGTCCAGTCAACGTGCCGCCTGCCACCCAGATCCCCCTCGCCACGACCTCTCCTGCTACCACTGTACCTTCTGTTGCGAACACACCCAGTGCCCCAGCCCCTACTCCGCCGATCAATATGAACCCGGTGAGCACACTTCCTCCCCGACCCATCGCCCACCCATATTCTCACCTGCAGCTTCACCCACACCATCCGCATCACCTCCCTGTCCCACCTGTCCCTCACTTACCCCCGCCTCCAGCTCTGTTTAAGAGTGAGCCTTTAAATCACAGGGGCCAAGGTGAAGACAGTTTTCTGAGGCACCTAGCAGAAAAAAACAGCTCAATACAGCACCACTAACTGCTTGTCTTCAGCCTGCCATCCTCTCGGGTCTTTCACACCTGGAGGTGTGCCCCCCCCCACCCATGAAATGTCATGGCGTCGCCCATAGCTCCAACGGAAGGATCTTTGCGTTGATCTCGGCTATCCAGCAAAGTGATCATCGGATGCAGGGGGGACCCAGCAGAACAGAAGCCCAGCTTGGCTTGCACGTTTTACTGCTGACTTTTATAGGTTCACAAGGACTGAGACTTCGTGGATTTTTTTTTTTTTTTTACTGTTTCATATCAGCTGATGAGGTATGCTTGCTTTTATATCCCGGACTTTCTCCTCAAAGAGGGGACGGGCCTGGTTTCCTTTGTACTAATCGGAAAGACTGTGAGACTAAATCCCAGAGCATTAATTATCACTGTGTATTTGTTAATTTCTTTTCAGCTTTTTCCCCCCACCCCAGTGTGCGTGTGCGCGTGTGTGTGCGCGCTGGTTGAGTGAGCCAGCCACATGATCGCAAGATATTAAGCATTATAGCAAAAAAAAAAGACAGTAAACAAAACTTAATCTCATTCGAGTAGTTCTCCTAACACACTCTTTATTTTAATACGGAAAAAATTATTTTAGAGGGTTTTTTTGTATAGACCTATTTAGTAGCCTGTTTCTAAAATGTATTTCGAATAAGCGGTGTAATTTTTTTCAGTGTAGCTGGACCTATGTTATAATAGATAATTTTTATAATCATTCAAATGTGATTTCTTTAAAAAAAAGAGAGAGATGCAGATAGCTTCTATAGTAAAAAAAAATTATTCTTACATCTGTACTACTCTAAAAAAAAGGTGCTGGGGGGTGGGAGGGGAAGAAACCCAAGACGTCTATGGGAAGGCTGACTCGAAAGTGGAGACGATTTTCAGAACTTTATAATAATTTATCTGTATGTGGGGGGGGGGGGTCCTCTTAGCCTTGCATTATCTTCTTTCACTTGGAGTTATAAGACCAGTTACATTAAACTGCTGTGTTCCCACAAACGTTTTTCACTCAGCTCTGCTAGGCATAAAGTGTGAAATGTTTCAGAAGGGGTAGACTCTCTCACGGGGCAAAATTGGGGTATGAAACTGTGGAGGGCGGGGGGAGACTCGGCCAGGTGTGGGGAGTGGGATGTCATTTCTTGGGCATAATTAGAACCGGGTTCATTATGTAAATGCGTGTTTTAAGGTATGACTTCTGATTTGGGGATCATTTGATGCTGCTGCTTTTGTGTGTGTTTTTCTCTCCCCCCCCCCCCCCCAAGATTCTTGAGTTCACTAGGAGAAAAGTGGGGAGTCACAAATAAGGTGCTGTGTGGCTGGATATGTGTAGAATAAACCTGGATTGGTGAATCCGGTGGGAACGTGAATCGCAATTCTTATTCGGTTAACTGGAGTTGAAATATGGCACCCTGTAAGCAGCCGAAATGGCTTATTGGCACCTTGGTGGAGAAGGCACAGAGACACCTACCACTCTTTAGAGCTCAAATGTCCCTGTGGCTGTTTTCCCTAAGCTCAGTTCCATCCCCCCCCCACGCCCCCAAGCATCTTATGCTGACCCTCAGCATGCCATTTCCTTTCTAAAAGATTAGGCTTTGGAGCTAATTAGGTGGGGGGTTATTGCATCAGATCAGCCCCCACTTTTGCATTCTGATAACTGTGCTTCTGCCATCTAACTTCGATCTTGCGTTTTTTAAAAAATATATATAGAGAGAAGATTAGGCCTTTTTGATACTTGTTCTCATATTTGAATGATAATTTCTTAACCCCCCCTCCTCCTTTTTCTGACAAATTAGTCTTTTAAAGATGTTGTGATAACATTTTATCTGTTCCTTCTCTTTTGTAGGTAGTAAAGCTAGCTATAAAAGTGAAACATTAATATAATGGTTCGCCATCTTCTATTGCCTGGGATGGTTCTGTACATTCCATGTCATGTTTGCAAACCCATAATTCTGTATAGTTTATCTATGCTGCAGGCCAACAGTCTGGCCTGGTGAATCTACTTTTATAAATTTAAAGGAAGAAAAAAACCCAAGCTCACCTTGGTAAATCAGTTGTAAGCCAATTTTGCAACAATGGTTTTCTCAATAAATTTACAGTATTTGGCTGCTATTTATGAATCCTAGTGTTTGAAATGGGTGTATGCTTTATATTATTATTTTATGTTGTTACTATTATTTTGCAAGACTGTATGCTGCTGCATCTTGAGTCTTGGGAAGCGGCATTGCATGCTTCGTAGTGGTATTTCTCAATATAAAATGGATAAGGTTGGGCTACCCTCAAAAAATGAACAGGCTACAGTTCAAGGTGACTCTTCTCTCATCTTATCATCCAGACTAATGTCATTTCAGGCAGAGGGGAACTACTTTTTGCAAATGCAGAGTAGTCCATAGATCTAGATCGTTGTTCAAGATTTTTTCTCTGCTTCAGCGACTCCAATTGGAGCATTGTAAGCATAGAGTTTATAGCCCATTCTCTAGCACTGGAGAATGCTCTTCTCACTCAAGAATGTCTTGATTGGTTGGTTCTGGAACCTATTTATTTTGTGCCTTGAGTGGCTGTGTAAGGCATGTCTCCTTGCTGAAAAAATCCATGGTACAGAACTGGAGATAAACCACTGTTATGGCCTGAACGGCGTATTCTGCTTCTTTCCCTTCCTCCATTTAAAAGAAAACATGGGCCACGGTTCTCAAGAGGACTACAACAGAGCAAGTACCAAAACGTAGCAGAAATAACTAAGCGAACAGTGATGCAGACGCAAGTCAGGATATTGTTGAAGGTGCTCCCCCAGCCTGCAGTATTGAATTGAAGTCTATATTCTGTTTCCTTCAGTTATAAGTACGGAATTATTATGAAGGGTTCAGTCTGTTCTTACAGTTTGATTTTCAGGGTGGCTGCAGGAAGCACCTGACTGTGGCTGGAGAATAGCTTGGAGAGGTAAGTCGACCACAGCATGTCATTTTGTAGTCTTTCTGTATAAACTTAAAGGTGCCATTGGACTCTAAATTTGTTGTATAAACTGTGTGTGTGTTTGAATTAGGATTTGGCCACATCAGCTTCTTAATTCCATACGAAGAGGCCTGTATACATCATTACTAGAACGATCACACGCTAGCTGGCACTCCAAGCCAACTTGCAAAATTAGAAACTTCTGAAGTTACTGCATATGACAGACTCCACTGTACTTTTTTTTTCCCCAACGAGAAATATCTTTGCCTTGGCAACTTCTGCTGTGGGCTGGTGAATAAAATGCTGTCCTCTCCTGCCGTTTGTATTTTATATAGTTCCATTAAAAAAAGAGAGAGAGAAAACCTTACTTCAGACACAATAAACTTTTGCGATGGCGTGGGGGAAAACAATTGGTGCTTTTCTCGTCAGGCTCTACAATGTCATTTATTAACAAGCTCCCCTCCAGCCAGTGCTTCCCACTTTTGCCCACGGAAAGCGAATTTTACATAAAAGCTGTTGAATTTAGGGGAAAGCACCCAAGCTAATAAGCAGCTGCTGCGAAATCTCCCTGGATTAAAGCTTTGGCTTCTTTTGCGGCCGTCTGCACAAAATCCTGTGGTTTGGTATAATTGAATTTTTGCATCAAAACTGTCATAGCAACAGAACACTCTTGTGTTTATTGGCATTCCTTTTAGTTTCAGGTTGTGTTTGAGTGTAATTCCTTTTCATAACTATGCTGTCCTAACACTGCATTGCTAGAATGCCACGTGACTAATCCTGCTCAGCGAATTGTGCTAGGAAAAGTGGTTTTGTGCTTAATCTGAAAGAACTGACGGTACAGAAATCTGTCTTGTGAACATTCTGTAAACCATCCTGGCTGCTACTTTTGTCGGTCTTCACTGTGTCACCCTCTGACCTGTCCCATCTTTTGGGGTCCATGGCTATGAAGAGGTGTGTGGCGCATGTACAAGTGTAGTGGATGCTCACATGCAGGGCAGTTCTTTATGCCCTTTGAACAACCCAGTGTTTTGCATCCATGTGGACCTTTCCTGTACCACGTCATACCTGCTCTTCCAGGGGCAGCTGCAAACCTGGAGCACAAAGGAGGTGTTTTGAATCAAAAGGGAGCCAGTTTGGTGTAGTGGTTAAGAGCGGCAGACTCTAACCTGGAGAACTGGGTTTGATACCCCACGTCTCCACATGAAGCCGGCTGGGTGACCTTGGGCCAGTCACAGTTCTCTCAGAACTCTCTCAGCCCCACCTGCCTCACAGGGTGTCTGTTGTAGGGAGAGGAAAAGAAGGCGATTGTAAATCACTCTGAGACTCCTTCGGGTAGTGAAAAGTGGGGTATAAAAACCAACTCTTTAGTGTTATTATTATTTATTTACTTACTTGCTTCATTTGTTTTCCGCCTTTCTCCTCGAGGAGGAGACTCAAAGTAGACTATGTTCTCCATTTTATCATCACAACGGCTGGGTGGGTGACCAGCCCAGCCAAGGCCACCCAGCAAGCTTCTGTGGCAGAGTGGGGATTTAGAACCCGGGTCTCCCAGGTTCTAGTCCCACACTCCAACCACTATACCACAGTGGCTCTCATATCCTTTGTGTCAAGGTGGGTCAGCTTCTGCACAGCCCCTGCTTTTCATCATTTTCCCTGTGAATCAAAGTGCATCCTGTTTATCAGTATGTGGGCAGGTTGGAGATGCAGAACGATGGTGACATTATTTTAAAACCACCTTTAGATGCAAGGCACTAGACTGAAATGTTTAAAAAAAACCTGTCCGTGCAATTACACTCTAGGAGAAACTACACCTTTGGGAACAGGATGCAAAGAGAAAGGAGGAGGGGAGGGGAGGCAGAGATTAAGAGATCAAGCGCTTTGGGCTGTTCTTCTGTTTCATGCCCCCATCCTGTCTTGCTGTCAAATTCTGTGGAAACCCCTGACTTCCTGCACTTCTCCTTTCTTGGGATCTAGTTTAAATACCTGCAAGGAAGCTAAGGATCAGGGAGTCAGTGAGTTCTGAAGGAAAGTGGCAGTGAGAGAGACACGGGTAGAATGTGGTCTAGCTTTGAGGAAAGTATTGGCAGAGTAAACACAGAAGGCAAGGAAAGAGAAGATAAAGGGGTCAAAGAGTGAAGAGGTATAAAAATAACAGCTAGTACAAGGAGTGAGAGGAAACTGAGTGCGTTTCTACAGGTATGGTTTGGAAAATGGCTCAGAGGCATGATGATGTTTGAAAGCTTGAAACCTACATTGTTTGGGTGTTCCTTTCTGGGATCAGAGCGTATTTGCTTCTGTGACTGCACAACTTCCTCTTGACTCCTACCTCCTCCAAGCTAGAGATGTAAAATTTCCAGAAATTTACCTTAAAAATGAAAAAAAAAATGCAGTATTAGTACTCTTTATAGATTGAAAGTCACTTTTGTTACTTTGGGAACATAAAATGCAGTGTGCATAAACTGGCTTGGCATAAAAGTATCATGTCTGATTAAAAAGTACAGCTTATTCAGAAAATAATACTAAATTGAATTTACTTTTAAAAATATTTTCTTGTTACAAATTACAGCACTTTGCACCAGCCAACTGGTTTCATGAATAAAATACTTAGTTGTAACTTTTCAGAAAGAAATAATTCTTACATGGATTGTTCCTAAATGAGAGCAGTCTTGCATTTTACATCTCCATACAGTTTCTTGAACTATAAATGCATGCCAGAGAGACATATGCGCTGGAGGAATTATTTTATGACCGCGTGTAGGCTTGGACACAGATAACCTTGCTTGTTTATATCTGTAAAATTAAATTGGATGAGCTGTTGGGGAAGGGAACAGCATGGCTCTTGCCTTTTGTTCTGCCCTGGATACGTTGGAGTTTGAATTATTGCAGGACTGGCTGTTTAAAAAAAAGTCCCAGCTGGACACCTCTGGCATTAAAGTGCAAACTAGCTTTAGAACGGGGAAGCAACCACAAGAGTACATGGCTGTTTACTGGACAGGTAATGGGGTACCGCTAGTAGCAGAAATATGTGCTTTGGACAGTACTACGTTCCAGATTCAGAACTGCCATGTGAGAGCAAAGATGGAACGTAATGTGCGGAGTCCCCCAAGGTAAAAGGATTGATATTCAGAACAGTGCACCCATTCCCACTCATGCACCGTGAAGTCCTAGCAATACATTCAGCCCTGTAGATGAAATTGTCGAGGAAACAGAAACCATGACGACGTATGCCCTGTAGTGCTCAGCTACTATGTTTACATTCAATACAGATAAACACCTCAATCATCCTCCTGTTTACAGTTTATCTTCTCAGAAGGGTTGAGAGAGAGGGCCACCTCACATGTGATGTTTTCCCCAGGCAGAAATAATCTCCCCGAAGAGAGGGGAATAGTGGTGTGTGTGTGTGTGTGTGTGTGTGTGTGTGTGTGTAAGAGAGAGAGAGAGATTAGAATCTTGTATCTGAGATTAAAAAAACATATGATTTCAAAGCTGGCTTTTGAGATGGAGATATCAAATACAAGCTTTAAATTAAGAGATCCGGTGGGATAGATGAGAGCTCAGGCCGCCTATACCACCACCAGCATAGCTCTTAAAATTGCCCTTAATGGGAGTTGGTTGCTAGCTATTTAAGGACAAGGAAGCAGAAGATGAGCTTATGTTGCTGAAGTTTGTTTGTTTTTAAATCAGTGTTGCATTTGTTCTTTGAGCTTGCAAAGTGTCGTGTTGGATTGCAAACTGTTGCCTCGATCTCAGTAATGCAATCCACATGAAGAAGCTGGTTTTGCTTGCTGGTCACTGTGCACAAAAATCTGCTGGTGTGGCGGAGGCCACCTTTAGCAGTGGTACAGAACATAGCACTTTGAGCCTTTGCCCCTTATGCAGCTCTCATCATGATGAAATGATGCAAGGCACCAGAAATCCAGCGGAAGCTTGTGTCCAAAGTTCTAGGCTTAGTAGTGGTGTTGTGTAGCTCTGTGGTTTTCTGGCTTTGGTATAGTTGTGAAAAAGCTGCTTGGGGGGCAATGGTGAGAGTGCTTCTGGAGTTCTGGCACCATAACTTCCCATAGGCCTTGTCTAACAAAGGCAGGCTTGATAACCTTCTGCTCCCTTGGAGGCTTAATTTCGGCCGTACCTCGGGACATTCCTGCATGGCTAAAAAGTAGGGACTCAAATTATCGTACTGCAAGGGCCACACCCCGGGCTTTTGATATGCTGTTTGCTTTATCTTTCCAAAGCATGTGGTACGAAATGAGAGGGCTCTGCAAAGCCACAGATAGTTTAGGTGCTGCTTCAGTGAGCTGTCGGCAGTGTTTTAGGGTGGAGGATAAGGCTTGTTCCACATGCCACCCTGTAATCTCATGTTCTGTATGGGAGGGCTGGGGAACGCTAGGTAGCCATTAGCCGGCTGATGTTTTCCAGCTGTGGCAACTTTTTAAAAATGGGTCTATTTTTGTTACTCTGGTTTCCAAGTCTTTCATTGAGGGTGGTGATGACGGCGTTGGTGAAACTTTTGAAGTAAAAAAATATGTAATTGGAGAAAAGTATTAAGAGTCTATGAAACGCCTCTTGGTTTTCACCGTTCTGCAGAGTGGCCTGTCTGAGCCTCTTGGAAAGAGACTGAAAGTCTCCCTAATTTGACAAACGAGCTGCAATTCCAGTTGATCTGTACTCCCTACATAAATATATTTCCTTGGTCATTCACTCAAGCAAGAAAATAAGTAGGATTTGTTCAGGGTTTTCAAACCCCCCCCCCCCAATCCTTGGATTGAGATGCAACTTGATGAAAAAAACAACTGGAAATCATAAATTCAGAAGGGACCAACAGAGTCAGGGAATGTTTCATTTGTTTGTGCTAATAATGCTGGTTCTGGCACTTTGGCTCTCGTTGAATAATGCACTTTCAACCCACTTTTAACACACTTTGCAACTGGTAAACAATTGCTAAAGTGCATTATTCCATACGGACTTCTTTCCCTGTTCCTCCTACCAAAGATTCTATAACTGGCGATTCCAGACAGGGAGCCAGGATCTTCTACATGTAATGCATGATCTGTTCCACTACTCTGTAGCCTTTCTCATTCCTTCTTTATGGGTGATGCTGCTAATTACTATTGGGAATCAGCATGCAGAACTTTGGATACTCTTTTTTTTTTGGTTAAGTTCTGTGCCCAGACAATCCAAATTATCAAGAAAAGCTGAATTCCACACCATTTGCAAGTCCCATGAATTGAGGATATTTATTTAATGTCTCTTCTTTTGCACCCTGATTTTGCTAGTCTTGGGGAGGTGAAGGAACACAGGGGTAGGATGTTCAAACTCCCGGGTACTGGGAGTCTGGGAGGAGGCTCTCAACATTTTGAAATTTCAAGCAGGCATTGATTTATTGTATTTCTATTCTGCTCTAAGAGATTTGAGGTGGTAGCTATTCTCCCTCCATTCCATCTCTATGTATTTATTAGTAGCCCGGCCTTGGATAGCCCAGGATAGCCTGATCTTGTCAGATCTCAGAAGCTAAGCAGGATCGGCCCTGGCTAGTATTTGGATGGGCGACCTCCAAGGAATGCTGGGGGCATGACGCAGAAGCAGGCAATGGCAAACCACCTCTGAAAGCATCTCTTGCCTTAAAAACAAGTATAGCTAGCCACCTAGTGGTGCATAATGCTAAAAGAGCCAGAACTTCTAGCTGCCGGACAATCTTAGGATCTCTTGTCTCTACTACGCACACTGGAAGGTTTCTTATTTTACTTTTTACTTATTTGAAGCTTTGTTTGCTCTGTTTCCCGTGTCCAAAGCGGATCTGTCCATTTTGATCCTCCAAGGAGATCAGGGTGGTGGAACACGGTCCCCCCCCCCATTTCCTCCTTACAACAACCTTATGAGGGAGGTGAGGCGTAGGACAGGATGACAGGGACCAACCTCATTCATGGTCCTTATACCACCAGCTTTCAAAAAATATCTTTGCAGCCCTGCGGGCTAAAGGCTTGCTTTGAAACAAAACAAAACCCAAACGCTGAGGTCCTCAGGACGCCGGCTTCCGTGTCCGATACATCCTACGCTTTCCTTGCGCTTCTCACGGAACCGCGGCCTTAACCGCAGCACGGCTCAGCCGGTCGATCGATGAGCTGGTTAACATTCCTGGAGTTTGAGAGGGCTTTTATCTGGGCCTGGAGCCCATCGACAAGGCGTTATTATCAGCCTTATCGAGGGAATCTCTTCCTCCAGGGCACGGCTGTCTCTCCCCTTGCAAACCGTGCGGATGGCGTAAGAAGTTCTTCCTCGTCCGGGGCCCTTCCGCTGCGGGGACAAACGGATGAGTCCGGGCGGGTGACCCAGTTTGAGCTCATTCGGGTCTCTCGGCGGACTTCCCAGCGGCTGGCTTTGGGCTCTCCTCCTCTCGGAAGCGATGGCACAGGTTGGTCTCTGCTTTTCCTCGTTCCTTTCCCTGGACCGTCTCTTCCCACCTCCCTTTACTGCATTGGGGCCCTCCGGTGCGAAGCCAGGCATTGCTTGCAAAGCGGCCGGGGGCGGTTTTGCCGGCAGCGCCGTGTCACTTTCACCGAGAAGAGCGGCGCAGTGTCGAAGGGGCAAAAACTTCGGGGGTCGCTTCTCCTGTCCTCAAATGCCCCCCCCTGGGAAGCGGGGGGGGGGGACGCGGGCGCGCGCCAATGGATGCTGTCTCTTTCTCTGTTGCGGTCTCTCTCCCCTTTTGATCTGTGCTCAGGAGCCCTCCCTATTGGCTGGTTCGCTTGTGACGTGAGGGGACTGCGGTTGTCCGATGTAGCAAAAAGCGCCGGGCTTAGTTTCCGTCTCTTTTCAGAGATCGGAGGAGGGG